TGTGGGATCGGCATAGACAGAGGGCTGGAGCCCAACAAGCTGGTGGGCAAGGCGGGCTGTGGCAGCCTGGATGTCCACTGATCCCCGCAGCCCAGGCCGAGGGACCCCACCATGCACCGGGCCTATAGTGAAATATAAAAGATGAAATTATCAATATCATTGTTGAAATATACATTGTATGTTATTCATCTAATAGTAGCTAAGTGTTAAAAATCTTTGCTTTAAAAAATGTGAAGATAATACATTTTGAAAAGACCAGTGAAAATTTAACTGAGAAGGCATTTATGTATGTGAAATGGGAGACTGTAAATGATAGACTCTCTAAGGCAACATTAATCAAATACTTGTTACAGACCAGGCACGCTGCTTAAACACCTTATGTTTACAATTACAGGTAAATATGAGGCATACATTTTTCACTGGCTTTGGTAAAACTGTTTTCACTTCACATTTTGAATTGGGGTGAAGGTGGCGAATCCTGATTGAATCGAGGTGCACATTGAAACAATAAGAGGCTGTAACCTCTGTCAGCGGGCAGATCGCAGGAGCAGCAGACAGGCAATGTGAAACAATGCTTGTCAATAATGCTCAGGCTGCCCTTCAGACTGAGGTTGTGAAGAATCAGCATTTCAGAGGACAGCTGTTTTGTCGATACAGACAGACCATTCACCCCACTGAAGGGCACAGTCAGAAACAGCCCACAGCACAGAGAAAACAGTTACTGGGGTCCCTCTCATTTTTGTCTTACGGAAAAGTGTCTCTGAGACTCATTGTCCACCTTTCTGAAGCCGTGAATCCCCATCCAGAGGATTCTCAATCAGCCCTGAGATCTTGCGGGCAGATTCCATCCGGCTGGTGCTGACACAAGAGCTGGATGTCACTAAATCCGTGTCACCTCTCCTTGGATACAATCGAGTATCCTTGCTCAGAACAATAGGTAACTGACCCACCTGGTCTCTCATGGAGCTAATGTATGCTGGCTCCTAGGAATCCTCCTCTGAGATACCCTTAATTCGCTGCATGCTGTTTTCCTGTTCGGGGACTATTGGATTGTAACTTCTTTAACTCATTTGCATTACAGTTATTATTATGACACTTGCATCTTCAAGATGCTAGGAAGTATTCTGTGGCATTGAAAGAAGAGAGGTTCTTTGTACTCCAGCTCTATTTAGAAATTGCTATGCACCTTAATAGTCTTTAAAGTAATTTTGGATTTTTTAAGTATCCTGTTCATTTAAGGATTTAATTTCTGGTCATGGCACAAGAAGTTCTGATTATAATTCTTTTTCTTGATTGATGATTATGGAAGAATGTCACTTTTTATTTTAATGTTTCTGTTTCCACTTATTCTTAGTATTGATGGAAGAAAGAATAGAAGAACAGGAACCAGAAGTGTATTGATACTCTTTTAAAGGAGAAAGCATGGCCATATTGCTTTTCTGTGCCTGCTACAACTTCACTTATCTGTTCTATATTGTATGATACTACCTTGTCTTGTAAGCATGGCTGGTTTAGAAATATTAAGATCATTCATAATAAATTTCATGGAATGATGATAAAGGACTTGAATTCAGAGAAAATAAATGTATTTTTTCATTTTGTCTCAACTGTAGCAATTTTAAACAGATATTTAAGATAGTAAGCTGAACATAGAGCCAGTTTGTTTTTAAAATAAAACTTGGTGGCTTACTTTCAGGTGGTTCATTCATTGTTATTTAAGAAATGGGCTATATAATCTTTCCCAAGGAAAGATTGGTGAGAAGGAAATTTTTCAGCACCCTATTAGTGTGAATCATTATTTAGGAACGCTTAAACTGTGTCTCTTTTAGAGGAGTGATAGATTCTGGACTTGCCTCACATGAATTCAAGTTCCAAGTCTGCTATCTGTGTGCTGTGTGCCTCCCTCGGGACAGCAGTAATAAGAGCACCTACTCATGGGGCTGTCCTGGAGAATGAGTGAGATCATTCATGTAAACCTCTCAGAACTGTGACCATCACATAGTAAGCTCATGTGATGTGTTAGCTATTGAGAACCACTGGAAATGTGAAAATAAAAATTAAGAAGACACTGCAGCCCATCTGAAATATCTACTTTCTCACAATATCCGAAATTGTACTGATATAGGCCCATCAACAAAAAATCGAATAGCAGCTATCACTTCATTATATATCTGAATTTTTAAAAACATTGAATTCCTGTCTGGTCAGTGTAGCTCAGTGGTTGAGCATGGACCTATGAACTAGAGGTCAGGGTTCTATTCCTGGTCAGGGCACATGCCCGGGTTGCAGGTTCGATCCCCAGTAGGGGGCGTGCAGGAGACAGTTGATCAATGATTCTCTCTCATAATTGATGTTCCTATCTCCCTCTCCCTTCCCCTCTGAAATCAATACTATATATATTAAAACATTGAACTCCTTCCAGTTTGTAGATGGTATTAAGAATGGCAGAGGGGAGGGAGGTGGATGGAAGGGAAAGGAGGTAATTGCTCTATAGGGCACATGAAAGCAGGTGTGGCAGTAGGTAGGTTCATGGGAGAGCATGTAACACCCAGGGCATATAGCTCAGGGAGCAGGCCAGAGGAAGGTTGGCCGAACTTAAAATACATATGCCAGGGCCTTGCTGGATTCCATCGCAATGCAAAAGGAGCAGCCTATTCTCATTCCTAGAACCTACTGAGTGTCAGGGAAGAAGGGAGAGAATACAAAGATGCCATCTTTATACTTGAAGAGACACAGACCAGTGGGAGTGAGTACCTATACTGCAGCATGACTGCCTCTTACTTGTCAAATGCTGTGGGGATGTGAGATTGCAGCACAGGAAGGAACTAACTACTGGAGGAATCGGGGGAGTTTCACAGAGGATGTAAGACAGTGCCATTTGGAGGACAGGGAAAGTAGTCCATACAGAGAGCAGCCTCTGCAGGGACAGGGCTGGAAGGAGTGTGCTAGAGCGGCTGGAGAATCATTGATGATGTTCGTTAGTCCGATGGTTTGGTTCAGAAATCCAGGCTGACTCTTGAACAATGGGGGATCTTTCCAAGACTGGCTGCTTCCCTAGAAAAAGTTCTCATGACTACTCTTGTGAATCTTTGTAACTCACTTTTTAAAAAAAATAACAAGTCACAAGTAAATAATATTTTATGACAATCATGTAGTAGTAGACTCTGAGAGCATTCCTCCCTCAGAGTCAGGCTCAGCAAATAAAAATAAATAAATAGAAGCTTTTGTTGCACGTTAGCATTAACCTTGTTTTGTGCTTTATTCGTAACAATCAGTGTAAGTGGGGAGTAAGTGTACCCTTTCAGCACTAATTTTACTATGTCCCCCTATTTATCTTGGCATGTTTTTTATGAGTATGTATTTTATTAAGTGCTGAGAATGTTTCCGGAGATGACCAACTTCTCCACAGTATGAGCCACTAACGAAAGTTGTGGTTGCCGTCGTAGCCTCATGGCATTTTAGAGCTGAGGGAGGTTCTGAACTCCACCTGGCCCAACTTCTCACCTCGTGCAGGATTGCTTGTCACTACACCCTTCGCAGGGGGAAAAAAGAAATCGGGAAGCCTCTGAATGAATATGGGACACGAAGTTGGGAGTCTTAAAGGCAGATCATTCCATTTCTTAATATCTGTGATTCCTAGAATGGTCTTTCCCATGATCTACTTTCTTAAGAGTTATAATCCTTTGGCCATGTCTGCCCTCTGGAGACCAAATGTATAATTCTGCTTACACCAAGGTGACCATTTAAATATGTCATCATCGATTGATATACCTTCCTTTACTGTCCCCTGAACATTTATCTTTAAGACTTATGAAATACCTCCAGTTTCTTCAGTGTGACATTAGTTTTTGGGACTTCCTACCCTTTTCTAGTGCTTTATAGCAGCTTGTATGTCATTTAAGTGTGAATTTTGCATCAGCTTTTCATCATTTTATTCAAATTTGGGAAAAGCAGAGTAATACAAATTCATTTTTATTGAAAGGTTAAATTGTATACCTGAAATGAATGAGGTTGGAGTATTCATACATCTAGGCCAGAATTGGCCCACTCTTTAGCGAGAGTGCATGATTTAAAAGATCTTAGCATTGAGGGTCTTTCCAAGACTGGTTACATAGCATTGAGACTTAAATTAGTTAGAGTTGGAATCAAATTCTTTTCTAAAACATTGAAATCATTATAATATTAACTAAGCATTTTAAAAACATAATGTAAGCATCTGGGACACCAATTAGTAATAAGTCAGTATCAAATTCAGTCAAAGGTCAAGAACAATGGGTTCAGGTTTGAACTTTTTGGTTTCCCTCAGATTTTGCCTATCACACTGACACTTTTGCACACATTTCGTTCTGCAACTAAATCACGGGTAAGGAACATCTGGCCTACTGGCCATATAGGGCCCTGCAAAGTCATTTGGTAAGGCCCTGCCCAGGCTTTAGGGGTGAGTTAATTAAATGTTTGACCAAATACAGCAGGCTAATTTTTAAGTTAATTTTGTATGGTCTGCAAATGGTGTTATAAATATCCAAATGGCCCTTGGCAGAAAAAAGGTTTCCCACCCCTGAACTAAATGAAAAGCTAACAAAATTGAGTTTCATCTCCCCACAGTGTGCTGGCTGATAACAGGCCTTTTGGGACAGAGTATTTTAGGGCGCCACTTACTGTGATATTTCTGCTGAAGGTTGAACTCTCTCCTTACCTAGCCACCAGAGTCTGAGTCAAGTCCTTTTCCATTGTGTATATTCTGGTTGACTGATATTGCACGGGATGTGAGTGTAGCCCCAGTAATCATGATCTGAGTAAGCATAATGGAAAATTGCCTTAAAGACCCATATAACAAAAGGTGTAACCAACTTTTGATTTGCAATGCTTGGATTCTCTTGAATGTCATTTCTTGCTCTCCTGCAAAACAGGATGAGGCATGACACTACCAAATCAAAGTTTCATTGTTGGGTATTTTCTGTGTAACATACTCTTTTTTTTTTCTTTTTCTTTCCCAAAAGGCGTTTAAACAGAAATAACCTTCAGCTGTTTCCTGAGTTGCTGTTTCTTGGGACTTCGAAGCTCTACAGGCTGTAAGTAGACCGAATTGGTGACCATTGCTCTGGGTAGCACCTTGTGTTTTATGAAATGTGTTTCGGATTTGTTTCCGTGTGCTTTCTTGGAATGGATTCATCGCTAGGTTCATGGATTAAGAGTTTGCCTTTGTTTTCAGTGGGAATTTCAGGTTGGTTTCCCGTGATTCCTGTGGTTTTGTTTCGTTAGCATTGACTTGTTGATGAATGTGTGATTGTGACTGCATCATTCTGGTTTGTCATGTGATGCTGGGAGGAGATGTACCCGTCTTCTCTTTGAACACTTGATTCAGTTCTGATGGGAAAAATGCCACCACACTTCTTTTTCGGGGGAAGTTGGCCTCGTTTCCTTATCAAGTTAGGGTTCTGAATGCTAGCTTTTTAAACATTGTTTCTGTTTTATAAGATATTCAAAAAGGACTGAACATTTCTTCTTCTATGTTCCTTTTAAGGCCAGAATTCCAAACCTCACAATCTGAATGACTAAGGGTTTCGTATCAAGTATGTCATTGAAGTACTTGGGAAGGGGTGTGATATGAGTTTTAGGCAGGATCAGTTTTCCCTCCCTGAAATGCTTGTTCTCTGACCTAGTATATAATAGTGAAAACACACTTTTGAAAGCTTTTACAATTAGATTTTCAGCCATGGGAGTGATTTCGTGCAGGTGGGCGATAAGCCACAGTGTTGGGAAAATACATCGCAGCAATTACTGATGTTCACGGATGTTGTGGAAAAACTGTTGGGCTGTATCTGCTCAGGATGGCCCCCGCCGGGATGGTGGGAAGTCCCATATGGTCGTGTGTGTAGGGATTGCTCTTTTCTGAACTTGATTCTGTGGCCAAGTCTCCGCAGCCTACAAATTCAGTATTGTTGTCAATTCCAGAAGAGGGGAGACTGTCCTTCCACAGCCCTGTCCCCAGGGGAGCCAGGCTGTCTGTGGGGACCTCCCGGTACCTCAGCTCACTATAGAGAGAATCTCCCCAGCAGGAAAGGTGTAGCCCGCTAACAACACATCTAATCTTCCTCTAGATCTGGCTTTCCTGATACTGTACCTGCCAGCAGAGCCCATCACCTAGCAGTATTTCTCGGCTTTGTGTTCCCTGATGGTTAATGGACTCCGTTAAGTAAATTAAAAAAAAAAAAATCAAAGAAAGAAGCCCAGAGACTGCCTTTTTAAATAATAATTCTCTCTGGACTAGTTTTACCCAGGAAATAGGATGTAAGCTGTTATAAAGATTATGTGTATGTATATAAATTGATCCTTATCCTAAATAATAAAAGCCTAGTATACAAATTGCCCCCTCGGGCAGTCGTTCAACAAGGAGTTCAACCGGGAGACAGTGAGTTCGACTACTTGACATGTGCTAACCACCAGGGGGTGGTGCAGAACATGGCAGGCGTCGGCCAGGAGAGAGCATGTGTCCAGGAGAGGGCGTGCTGCCTGCCTGGCTTCTGTATGGCAGCCCAGAGGCCCACACTGTGCCCTGGCCTGCAGTGCCCAGCCGTTCTCACCGCATCTCTGCAGGGGGACTCAGGCAGAGGGGGACCCAGGGCCCAGGTGCTGCCCAGGGCCCAGAGGTCAGCTGGGACCTGCCCTTTCTTGCCAGACCAATATGAGTCACTAACTGCCCTCAGGAGACCAAATGTGTCATGCTTTGTTCACCAGCCAGGCCTAGGAGACCGCACCTGTGCACGAATTTCGTGCACCGAGCCTCTAGTCTTTAAATGCTTGTGCTTTGTTTCTAAGAAACAGGGTTAAGAGTATTCTTTCTGCTTTAATTTTGGGTGATTGATGGGACTTGGAAGCTTTGGGTTCAAGGCTAGTATACAGTGAGCACTGTTAAACTACCACTTTGCTAATTGTGTGCTTCTAGAAACAATTCACATTGTTTAGGAAAGTGACCATTTCCTAAGAAGCTGTGAAAATAGAATTTAAACAGAATGACTGTCGTTTAGCATTTAAATTATGAAGCCAAAGAGGTGAAGAAACTTAACACTATCTCTGAGAAACAGGAAGTTTGACTTTTTAGAAGTACTTGGGTTAATTTTTTTAAGAGTCTTCATTTCAGGTGGTATAATCCAGTTCAAAGTCCTCTACCAGCCAACCATATTCAGTTATCATTTTTTTCCTTTTTTTATTTATTTACAATATCACATAGTACAATATCACAGGGGATTTTCTTTAATGGTTTGTTATAATTTTGTAACTTAGGCTCCTCTATGAATGACGGAGACTTCAAACCTTAAAGAAGTGAATTAAAGAAAGAGAACCCATGAAACTTTAAGGCAAGGATTTTCAGTTATTTAAAAGCGTTTTTAAAATGGGAAATGGTTAGCTAGGCAATGGGTCAGGGCTGTGATTTCCTGTATAGCTCCAAGTTCTCCCCTGGGGAGTGAGGGAAAGTAAAGTTTTGTTTGTTAGATGGGACTGGTTGCAAGTGGGACTTGACTGCTTTGATATTCCTGAAGTTAGCCCTTGATGGCTCAATGTTTACAATCCCTGGGGGGTTGACACCTGACACAGACACTGCATACACTTAGAAACTTGGAAGTGTCATGTTTTTCAGCATCTTCACATCAGGAATCTTCTTTTGAGTTGAGGTGCTGTTGTCTCACTTGGATTCCATTTAGTGGCTTGTTAGCAGCGAGTGATCTCTCTCTTGAGAGGATTACTTACAAGCTACATGAGACCAGTTGTTTATGGTGGGGACCACTAGTTAAATTAAACAGCCACCATTAAGAATTGTTAATAAATAAAGGAACAAAAGCTTGGGAAGCCAACTGCCTGGTTAGTGTAATTTCCAAGAGGAAGGGCGTAAGTTCACATTTTCTTTAGATGATACAGGTGCCTACTAGCTCACCCTAAGCAAATACTCTAACACGTGGGAAAATGGGCTTCGCGAAGCTTCATTTTTAAATGAGCATTTTAAAGGACAGTTTTGTATGTAGATGTGTGAGCTGGAGAGCATTTTGCTAAGTGAAGTAAGTCAGTCAGAGAAAGATAAATATCACATGCTCTCACTCATTTGTGGATTATAATGAACAACATAAACCGATGAACAAAAACAGATGTAGAGACAGAGAAGCATCGATCAGATACTCAAAACTCAGAGGGAACATAGGGGATGGTAGGGGTGAGAGGGAGAGATCAACCAAAGGACTTGTATGCATGCATATATGCATGAGCAATGGATTAGGACAACAGGAGGTGAGGGTGAGGGCAGGATTGGGGGGATGAGGGGACATTGGGGGGATGAGAACACATTTGTAATATCTTAATCAATAAAGGGAAATAAATAAATAAAAATGAAGCTTCCCTTCACAGTCAGAGAACAAAGGATGTAGGATTTTTGACAAATAACAGCGAAAATATTTGGGGACAGGGAAAGTATTTGACTGGTTATTGCATGTGCATATTAATCGATCCATAGTTTTCCTATTATGTGATGTAATAAAGGCATACACATCTAGAATTCATGAAAGAAACACACTTAGAATTTAATTTCTCGTTATAAATGGTTGCATAATGCTAATTAACATCTCTCTTTTCCCAAACCTACTGTATCGCTAATCCTTACTTAGGACAGTTTTACAGGATATATAAGCAATGAAAACGTTTACAAGTTTAATACATTGTTCATACACTGATGTTTGATTTTTATCATTGTTTGCTTAGATTAAAGCTAGTCTGATGTACTGGAAGTGGCAAAGGTGGGCAAAAATAGGTAAATAATAATAAATAATGCAATACTTACTTAATAAATAATAATGCAAGGATAAACTCTGTTTCTCATACTCACAACTGTAAGCCTACTTCTTCCCACCCCTGAGTGTGTACATATTTGTTGCACTTGTGTAATGACTAATCACCGTTTGACTCTTGGCTGAACATGAGATGCCAGGTGAAGAGCACACAGACTACCCTTTGGATTCTCAGTGCAGTCTGAGGGAAGAGAGGGCGCACTGTATATGAATTATGATTCGGCACGGTTGGTTGCTGCTAGCGGCCAAATATGCTTTTCCTTTGCTGTCTGCTCCAATTTCTCTTTGGACGGGTTGAGAGAGCACTACATGTTCAGGTCAAGATGTTTGCTCAGAAATAGTAGTACAGTTGCAGCTGTGTTTGTTGGAGCAAGAGACTAGTTTAAATAGCATTACCATTTATCCAGTCCATTAACAGAACTCTGTAAAATAATACCAACTCTGCATAAACTACAGGACAGCGTAATAAAATTACAAGCACTTGTTGACAGATGGAAAGTGTAAGTGGAGGGGAAGTAGAGAGCCTTAGATTGGAGGTTAAAAGAGACAGTGCATAGTTTTCTTCAGGTATGTAGATACTCCATCGTCTCCTTGGTTGCTCCTCCAAAACCAAAGTTGCGTTTTTGGTATCAGTGTAAGGAGTGGAGAAAATTATGTTTAGAGCTATCTGGAGCTGGTTAACTGACAGCTTTTTCAGTGGCTTTTGAAATGGTCAATTACGATTGGTTGAAATGTATGAGTAGCAGTTAATTATACATATGAGTAGCATATACAAATCTTCCTGAGAAATGTCACCTGAAAGGTGACTTACTAGGGAGTGATTCACACTTTTCAACTTGAGTTTACAGCTACTAAGCCGGGCTTATTAGAGAGGAATTTCACTGGCAGCCTTGTGGTGGAGTATTTGGTTATAAATATTTGCTTTGTGGTTTTCAGTTTATTTCTTTCAGTATTATTATATTTACCCAGGCTTTGAACATAAGCTTAAGTATCCAATGCATGTAGCAAAAACTCATTTTTCACTTGTATCTACCAAAACAAAACAAAATTAACAAAAATAAATACATAGGTCCCATGATTCATTTTCTTTATTTCTTTGAATTAAAGTTTTTTTTTAATTTCTCATTCATAAGTGCCATTTATTATCCCCCAGGGAGCTTCAGAGCCATGAAATCATCTAACATTATAGATAGCAATTTTAAATCTAAGGACGTTTTTATGCCCCAGTGCAGGGGTCC